TCCTAGTGCTTCTCCTGTTTTCATCCTTTCCAGCTGTGGAATTACAGGGGTGCATCACCATGCCCGGACTCTGTGGCCTACTCAGCCCACCCTAGGGGTGGGGCTGGCATGGCACGTGGTGCTGGGTGTTGAACCCTGGTCCTTGTGCTTGCCAAGCTTGCTAAGCAGGTGCTCTAGTCCACTGAGCTGGCTCGCTGGCCCCTATTGGTGCATTTTAGGTAAGCATAATGATCACATTCATCATAGTACAAGTTGGTCTTTTCTTCCCCATTCCCCTTTTCTCCCTTCATCAGCTGGTAAGCTGTTGAGTGGTGTCTGCTCTCAGCATTATTCAGAGAGGAAATCTGGAGCCACTGACCCCGAAAGTCAGTAAGCCAGTTTGTTGTGAGGCTGAGGCACCACCTGTCTCTTGGTAACCCTGAGCCCGGCCTGGGTTCCTTTGGAGACGAGCAGGAGTTCCTGGGTGCAGGCGTGCTGCAGGCCTCCTGGAGGTGGCAGGAGAGAGTGCACGGTGGGAGCTCAGGGTTTGGGTCCTGCCCATCTGCCCTGCAGCCCTAAGGCCTGTGCGGCTGGAGGCGGGTGCCTCACCAGTGAGGAGCTGGGGCATTCTGTGTGCGGTCCCCTGCTGACCGTGTGCGCGCGTGTGCGTGTGTTGAGGCTAGCACTCCTGACGGATCTGCTTTTCTGAGTCTTGTTAAATTTCACGGTCCCATTGGTAGCGCTGCTGGGTATTGAAAAGCTGGCCTTAACTCAGATTTTAAGTTACTTTGGGAACTGATGAAGCAGAGTAGACTAGATTGAGAAGGAGTGGGGAGAAGGTGGGGTGTGGGGGCCTAAGGATCCAAGGTGGGGTGGAGGACCCGGTGCTGGCCACTGCAGTGATTTTGTTGTCCTGGAGATTGCTAAGTGTGGGCAGAAAACATTCTTGCCACAGAAGTGACAGCTGTGTGGGCTGGTAGCTACCTTGATTTAGTTGTTCTGCAGTGTCCAGGAGCTTCAAAACATCCTGTCCTGTGTGGTAAACACAGTTTCATCTGTCAGCAAGAAAAGTCGCTGGGCTGTAGTGGCAGCTGCGGATGACTGGTGGGTCCCTTCTGTAGCTGAAGCATCTCATGCCTACATGTGCTTAATCTGAGAGCACAAAGGTGCCCAGAGCTGAAGGAAGAGGTTCATTTAATAAATAATGTGGAGGCCAGCCTGATAGCTCTAGGGGACTAAAGCACCTGCGTAGGCAGAGTGCAGTGGCTGGGGTTCAGTCCCGCCACCAGAGCACACTGAGATGTTGATTGAGGCTGGTGGTATACGCCTATGACCCCAGCACTTGGGGGGCTGAATACAGGAGAGCTGCTACAAGTCCGATCTACATAGTGAGACCCTGTACGCCCTATAGACTCCGCCCTAAATTAATTAAAATAAAATGAATAAGTAAATAAAAATAATGTTGGAGAAGTCAGTGACTTTTAATCTAATATATATACATACATGTATATGCTTATTTATTTACTTTTTGTGGAACTGGGGATTGAACTCAGGCCCTTGCGCTTGCCAGACAAGCGCTTATTCCTCTGAGCCATCTCCCCGGCCCCTTTCCTTTCTTCCTTCTTGGAGAAAGTGCTTCAGGCCTAGCCTGAGCCCCCTCCTGTGCTTGGCAATGCAGGCAGAGGCGGCTTCCGGGGAGGGAGCCCGGCTGCTGCCACGGAGTTGCAGGCACAGAGGGATCAGCAGTGTCTAGCTTGGTGACAGCAGGTAGGTGCGTGCGCGCCACCTGGACCTCGCAGGCACTGCGGGCAGTGTTTCTGTGGGCAGACTGCTGTCGGCGGGACCTTAGCGGCTGTGGGAGCATGAAAGGTCCCTGGCCTTTCTTGTAGGCTCTGGCCACACAGGCACTGGGACACGGCCAAGGCCTCGCCCCAGGGGAGCTGTGCGCGCGCCCCTCACAGTATGAGGTGTTGGAAGTGTCCTGGTGCCCTGCGACAGACAGCACAGCCGGCTGGGAGACCACGTGCCCACGGGGTGGTGCCTGAGAGCTCTGCAGGGCGCAAAACTGCTGACTGAATTTCACATGCAGAAAGCACATTTCTCTGATTTCAGTTCTGCCTGACCCCACATTAAATGTCACTTGTAGGACAGAAGGGACAGTGAATTCTCTTTTTCATCTGGAGGCCGTCATCTTGAGGAATTCGCTTCCTTAGCTGTTATTTTGAAACACCCACGTGTCAGTGCTGTGCAGGGAATTACACTGCCCCTCTCCCTTGTTTCTTCTCCCCTCCCCACCTTCTCTCCTCTCTCCCTGCTGTCCCCTCCCTCTTTCTCCTGGCCCCCTCCCCCCATTGCCCCTTGTTCTATAACAAGTCCTCTGTGAATGGGCGTGGAACATGGGTGACTCAGCAAACATCAGTGGGCCTCCTGCTTTCTGCTGAGCACTGGCCTGCGGTTGAGTGAGGTGGCGCAGCCTGCCCTGACAGCCCTGCCTGCCTCATCTGTCCCTTGTTTGCCCTGATGGCGGCTGGTGGCATCACAGCCAGACTCCTGCCTCCCCAACGGTGGCCGCCTGGGCTGCTGGTATTGTTGTGTGCCAAGATGAGGGAGCCGCCAGCCAGAAAGCCATGTGTCAGGCCCCAGGGTCAGCAGGCACAGCCTGGCCCTGTCTGTCCTGTGGAGTGACTCTGACAGTGGCCACCGCAGGGCGGAGCAGCTTTCCTGCCTGCTCAGCCAATCCCCTCAAGCCCCTGAAGGACCAGAGACCCAGGAGGCTGATGCAGGCCGCAGCTGTCTGGGGGCCTTAGAGACTGCTACCCCACTCCCAGGTTTCACACCTTCGGGTCTGACACATGTGCTGCCCCGACTGCTCTGTGGCCTGGAACAGGCCCCTTGACAGGATCCTGTCTTCTCTCTCTGAGGAGCAGATGTCCCGAGGGCGGGCATGGCGGGAGCAGGTTGTGCCCATTGTGTTCCCAGGAGTGCAGGTGTGGCCTGGGCAGCTGCTTGCGTGCAGGAGTGCAGGCTGTGCTGGGTGTGAGTGGGCTGTGGGTCTGGCCAGCATAGCAGGTCACATGTAGCAATCAGCTGATGAGTCAGGACAAGCTCAGGGCACGGGCGAGGGCTCGGCTCACAGTGGCAGTGTGTGTGGCCGTGTACCAACAAGCCCTCTTGGGAGGCCTGGCAGGAGCAGGGCTGGGGGACACAGCAGCTGGGCTGTGGGCTGAGGGAGCGGGGCACCGGCTGGGCGGAGCTGTCCTGGGGACCTGGCTGCAGGCCTGCGCTCTCATTGTGCAGGGAGGCCGGCGCTCAGACTCCTCCTAGCCCCACTGAGACACCCGCTAGAGGCGTCTGCAGCCCATGCGTGGTGGTCCTGTTGCTGCGGGGCGCAGAGCTCTGGGGCTCCCGTAGCTTTCAGGTTGAGTCCACCCACGGGAGCGCCTCTGTGGTGCTTCCACTCTTGGCCCCAAGCACCAGTTGGGGGTTGGAGAGTGAGGACCTGGCGGTTCTCCGCTCAGCCAAAGGCGGCATCTCAGTGGCAAAGGTGGAGTCGCCTTTCCCCCGTCAGGCTGGGGCTTGGGTGCTGCAGAGGTTCTGGCTGAGATCTAATCCCACCCTGAAGTTGCTGGCTGATGGTGGAGTAGGAGCCCGAGCCCAGGCTAGGGAGGCCTTGCGGGTCTGTGTGCCAGGGTGCACAGAAGCTGCGCTCCCGACCAGTGGCTTCAGGCTCTTTCTGTTTCGTTTTGCTGTTTCAATGTATTTGGTTCAGAGACACATAGTGATCCTGCTGTTGTCAGCCTCCCCAGCACTGGGATTACAGGCATGTGCCGCCATGCCTGGACTCCGTCACTGGCTCAGTGTGCCCGGGGGCGGGGCTCGCATGGTGTGCGGTGCCAGGGATTGAGCCCCTGGCCCTGCACTTGCCTAAGGAGCTTAGTCCCCTGAGCTATCTCGCCGGCCTGATGACTTTAGTTTTTATTTTGAGACAAGTCTTAAATTTTCCAGGCTGGGCCCAAATTTGAGATCTTCTTGCCCCGGCCTCTGGAGTGCTGGGCGTACAGGCCAGGGCCCATTTTTTTTTTTTTTTTCCAGTGCTGAGGATTGAACCCAGGACCTACAGACTGAGCTACATCCCTGCCTTTTTTTAAATTTTGAGTTACTAAGTCAGTGAGCTCCCCAGGTCAGGCTTGACTTTGTGATCCTCCTGCCTCAGCTTCCCAAAGTGCTGTTATTACAGGCGTGTGCCACAATACTCGGCATCAAATTTATTCATATGTCTGTTACTTTAAAAAAAAGACAAACAAACAAGCTGAAACCTTTAATTTTTCATTTCTTTGCTTCCAAAAGGACGAGTGTGGCTTAATCACCTACATCTTGTCCGCGGCTCGTGGGGCAGGGCAGGGTCCTAGTTCCTTTTCGTACTATAGCAAATGGGATTGTCTTCCTGTCTTCACTGCAGTGTCTTTATTGCTGGTATGTAGAAATCAATTGCTATTTGCGTGTCGATCTTACATCGTGCAAGCCGCTGCGTTGGCTTTCAGCTCTAGCAGTGTTTACTTGTCCCTTCTCCTTAGGGCTCAGTGTTGACGCTGAAATTTACTTTCAGGTTCAAAAGCAGCACTGAGTGCAGAAGATATGGCTGACTTTTACAAGGAATTTTTAAGCAAAAACTTTCAGAAGCACATGTGTTACAACAGGTGCGTGTTTTTTCCTACAGTTCCAGGTCAGCCAGGATTGTCCTTTCCCCTGCCCTGAACACATCGGGGAGAATTTGCAGGACTGTCCGCATCGCTTTGTGGACCTGGGAGGGACTAGGTGGATGGCAGGTGTTGCTTTGTGTCCTGATGGAGCCCACGGTCACTGCTGGTGATGACTGGGCTGCCACGCCCTGAAAATGGAGAGATGGAAGGAAGGACAGAGAACACACCCAGCTTCTCTGGCCCTCCTGCCCAGCGGCCGCACAGGGCAGCTGCCGGAAGAGTGGTTAGCAAGAGCTGTTTTCCCAATGAGTAGCAGGTCTGGAATGCTGAGAGGAACGGTACAGGACAGTGGGGACCCACTCCTGGGGCTGAGTGAGGCCACTGCTGGCTGGCACCGAAGGGCGTGTTCTCACAGAGGTGACATTTCCTTGTGGCCAGGGCTCCAAACCAAAGCAGTTGACTGGGAGAAGGTAATGGGTTGAAATGGTTGCCAAAGATGCCATCAGCCAAACCCAAAACGTTGTAAATTCTGCAGGTGACCCAATCTCCTTAGGGTAACTAGAGTGACATTAGAGGGAGAGGGCCTGCTGTGCACCGAGTGAGGTGCAGGGTCTATACTGGGTCTGGGTCCCATGGAGACATCTGGACAAAGGACACCATACGCTGACCATGCACCGGGCTGTGCTCCTAAACTGTGTGCACTGGTTTTTTTTTTTTAATTTTATTTGTGTGTGTGTGTGTGTGTGTGTGTGTGTGTGGCCAGCTCAGCCCACCAGGGGGCGGGGCTAGCTGGCATGTGGGGCTGGGGGATTGAAGCGCGGTCCCTGTGCTTTGCTAAGCTTGTTCTAAGTAGGTGCTTTAGACCACTGAGCCATCTCTCCAGCCCCTTGTTTTGTTTTTTATTGCATCATTGAGCCAGGGTCTCACTGTGTAACCCAGGCTGGCCTTGAACTTGTGACCTTCCCAGCTCAGTCTCCCAAGTGTTGGGATTATCGGTATGCACCACGCCCAGCTTGATCATGTGTTTTTAAAAAGGTTTCTTTTTTTGGTGCCAGGAATTCTCAGGGTCTTATGCTTGCCAGACAGGCCCTGTGCCCCTGGACTATCTCTCTCTTTTTTTTTTTTTTTTTTTTTTGCAGAACCGGGAATTGAACTCAGGCCCTTGCACTTGCCAGGGAAGCGCTTATTCCACAGAGCCATCTCCCTGGCCCCTGGACTATCTCCTTGACCCCTAAAAAGGTTTCTTTTTTAATGTATTTAGTACAGGGTCTCTCTACACAATTGGACTCATAGTGATCCTGCTGTTTTCAGCCTCCCAAGTGCTGAGATTTTATAGGCATACACCACCATGCCCAGTCTCAGTTGACATCTCAGCACACCCCAGGGACGGGGCTGGCACGGATGCTGGGGGTTGAACCCTGGTCCGCTTGAGTCCATTGAGCTATCTGGCTGGCCCCTAAAAAGGTTTTAGCTGGTTACAGACACAAGGCCCACATGTCCAGGTGGAGTAGTGGGCTGTGGTGCCAGGGATGTGCTGTCAGCGTAACACAGTTGGGTAGGACAAGGCCGGAGGGTGAGGGCAGCTGGCTGTGAGTGAGCGCATGAGGGACCGCACCACCTGGGATTGTCCTATATGTCACATCCTGCTTGTGCTGCTTTCCCGGGGTCTCCTGAGCCATGAGTGTGTGCCCGACCTCACAAGCTATTCAGGGGCCACGCCCACAGCCAAGGGCACCCTGGCCTCAACATCATGTCGAACCCCCATGCCCAAGCTGTTCCTGCTTTCCCCCCACCCCAGGCCTTGGCCAGCCTCCTGGTACCTGCTATGCAGGGGCTGTGCCCTCAGTGCTGTCCACAGTGGTGCTGTCCACTGATGACCTCATGGGCAGGTGCTGCGTTTGTATTTGTGCCCCAGCACACGCGTGTGTGCATGCGCGCGCGTGTGTGTGTGTGTGTGTGTGTGTGTGTGTGTGAAGCTCTGCAGAGACAGCTTCCCCTCAACTTGTCACCCAGAGGACAGTGTGGACCTCTGCTGGCAGCAGCTTTCCCCAGAGCGCCAGGCTGCAGGGGGTAGAGCCCTTGCTCCATGCAGAGAGCAGCCCAGCTGTGGCTCTGATCCTCTCCATGGTGTCTCCGCAGGAACTGGGGGAGGCTTGCTGGGGAGTCGCCTCAGTGCTGGCAGGAGGGATAGGTGGAGCACAGTGGGCCGCTGTGTGCCCTCTGGCAGGAGCAGTGTCCCACGCGCCTGTCTTGTTTCCCCACAGAGACTGGTACAGGCGTAATTTTGCCATCACCTTCACCATGGGCAGGGTGGCCCTGGAGAGGATTTGGAACAAGCTGAGACAGAAGCTGAAGCAGATGAGCCATTAGCCCACCCTGGCCCTGATGTGACCCTGCAGATGACCAGGTCACCTATGTCTCAACAGGGCCACCTGCTCCCATCTGACCAGGTCCAGCTGGCTGGTCATCATGGATGTGCTGTTTAAAGCTTCACCAAACCGGAATAGAGCAATGTACAAATGTTAATAAAATTTCACATGAAAACTCCAGGCACGTCAGTGCATATTTGTAATTCCAGGTACCCGGAGGATCACGAATTCAAGGCCAGCCTGGGCGGCTTGGTGAGCTCCTGTCTCGAAGGATTCTACAAACTGGGTGTGGTGGCACACCGTAATCCCAGCACTCAGGAAACTGAGGCAGGAGGAGCACCGAGTTGAGGTCAGCCTAGACTCCATTGTGAGTGCAAGGCAGCTGGGACTGTGCAGCAAGACCCTGTCTCCAGAACACGCTACCAAGGGCTGGGCTATAGCTTGGGGATGGAGGGTGAGGCTTTGGGCTTTGGGTTCCACTCTCAGCAGCTCAAAAGTCAAAATTAGACCTGAGTGACCGGAGTGGTGTGCAAGCCAGCTGCCGCGTCATCACCTGTCCTGTGATATAGCTGTGTGGTGTTGGGGTTCTCAGGGTCCAACTCCGGTCAGGGCCCAGGTGTCCTAAAATGCAAGCAGGGTCAGAACTGTGACAGTAGAGGGACGCCAGACCATGCTGCCCTGTTCTGTGCAGCCCCACCTGGGCTCCCAATGGCATCGTGTGCACCCGACCCACAAGGTAGTAGGGATGAGGGGAGACAGCTGGTGCCTGCGAGGGTGGAGGGGATCACGTGTGGGACGTGACCTTGGGCAGCTGGACTGCGCATCATGTCCCCAAGGCCTATGCCTTGTATTCTTGGTCCCCTGCTGAGAAGGTAGATTTTTGGGACCTGGAGTTGCCTTTGAAGGGGATGTTGGCCCTTGGCCCCTTCACCCATTGCTTCTGGCTTCATGAGGTGAGAAGCCCTTCCTCCCTGGGCTGTGTCTGTTTGCGTCAGGCCCTAAGGCGGCACAGTCCCTGACTGTGACTACATGTCCTGTCCTGCATCCCTCAGAGGCTGAGCTCCTTGGTCCCAGGAGGCAGTCTGGCATGGGGGTGGTGCAGCCATGGATCTGGTGCCCTCTGTCCTGGCCAGGAGCCAGTGACAAAATGAGTTAGCTGTGGTGGGAAGACAGCTCCCCATGCTGCTGCTACCAGCCCTCTCTGAGGTCCCCAGGGGCCTGGCAGTTGGGGCAGGAAATCCAAGCAAGCTCCAGGCGAGAGGGGGCAGGTAGCTGCAGAACCAGGACACCTGGGCCTGGCCACATGGAATCCTGAGCCCAGGACAAGTGTGCCCTGTATGCCTGTCCTCCCATGTCCTTGTGCCCCTCCATCAGGTGAGGCCACCTGCAGTACCAACTGCTATTCAACTGGGGACATCCTTGGCCAGGTGCTGTTCGCAGGGCAGGGCTGCGGGAGCCAAACTGTGTTCCTGGGAGCCTGTGGTCGGGCCCATCTGGGAGCCGGGGCCCAACAGTGCAACATGGAACTCTGATATCCTGGCACCAATGTTGGGGTGAGAAGGCAACCAGGGCAGGCCCAGTGCCTACGGGTCCCCTGGGAATGTTCCTCAGAAAATGTGAGGAAAGAAAGATTAAATGATGGTGATGAATGGTACTTTAGGTCAACTAAGTTGTAATCAAAGTTATTTTGACCCTAAAATGCACATTTAAAAAATTGAGTAAGATGGTTCTGTGTTGCAGTCATGTTCGACGAAGTTTTCCTCTGGGCTTTTAAAGGTCTACATTTAAAGACCATCCCATCGACGTATTTATACTAATTTCCAAACAAATCTATTCTCTCTCTGTTTATTTTTTTATTTTTTGGTAACATATTTTGATTCTTTCCTTTTTCTTTTTTCTTTGTCTTTTTTTTTTAATTTTATTTTTATAAATTTATTTATTTATTTATTGTGTGTGTGTGTGTGTGGCCAGCTCAGCCCACCAGGGGGCGGGGCCGGCTGGCATGTGGTGCTGGGGATTGAACCGCGGTCCCTGTGCTTTGCTTAGCTTAGTTTGTTCTAAGTATGTGCTTTAGACCACTGAGCCATCTCACACCAGCCCTTCTTTGTCTTTCTGCAACAGGGTCTCAATATGCAGTTCAGGCTGGTCCTGAACTTACTTTGTAGCCCAGGCTGGCTTTGAACTTGCAATCTTCCTGCCTCAGCCTCCTGCGCAGCTGGGATTACAGGTGTGTGCCCTCAGCAGGTCTCCATTTAATCCTGATTCTACAGGGAGCTCTGCCTGCCTGCAGCCCCAGCCCCCTTGCTGCAGAGCCCAAGGCATGGTGCCTAGGGCTCCAGGCCTTGCAGGAACTCAGAGGTAGCACAGCATCCTCCAGGAAGACCAGGGAAACCCTGAGCAGCTCTTGGTGGACCCCAGAGGTCTCTGGGCCAGCTCTCCCAGTGGGGCAGGGCCAAAGAAGCTTGGAGCGAGCCCTGCAGTCCTGGTTGGCCCTGCTGGTAGCAGTTGCTCCTGCAGAGACTAACTGTCCAGGCCTCAGTGTCCCTTCATCACCTCAGTGGAGGACAGGGACAGCGCCGAGGCTGGCTCAGCACAATGGTTCTGAGCATGGTGTGGCTTCCTAGTCTGGTTTGTGGGGAGTCAGTGGGGTGTTTTGGCCAAACTTTGTGTTTCCAGGTGGTTTTTGCTACCAGAATTATTCTGATTTTTTTTTTTTTAAGAACAGCAATATAAATATAGCCATATTTTGCTGACTCTGAAGTTAAAATTTAACAAAACCTCTGTGTAGAAGCCCAAAGGAGGGGGCTGCAGGGGGCGGCATCCTGAAGAAGCCTCCAGTCCACGGGTGGGCGCGTCCTGTGAGACTGTCTGCTGCCAGCTACCGATGTCGGGCTTTGGCTCCTCGGCCTCGGGTTCAATCCCCCAGCACCACATGCCAGCCCGCCCCGCCCCCTGGTGGGCTGAGCTGGCCACACACACACTAAATAAATAAAATACATTTAAAAAATTATTAAAAAAAATATCTCTTCTGAATTTTGTGCTGGAGAGCCTCGATTTCTCCCCACAGTCTATGTTCTGGGAGTCCATCTTCATCCTGGACAGCGTTGTTCATGTGTGTTCTAACCACTCGCTCCTCCTGCCACCCCATCCACACGGTCGTGCTGCAGACAGGCAGCACGTGCTCTGTGCTAGGCCTGGGCTGCATAAGTCAGCTTGTTGCACACACACAAAGACTAGCAGGCTTGGGGGTAAGTGACCAAATAGCAACTAAGTGGACGCACCAAACTTGTTATGGAATCAACTAATGCAAGTTTCACGTTATACTCCCAACTAATCATAGGTTTTGTTTTGGGGTTTTTTGTTTCTGTTTTGCGGAACCAGGGATTGAACTTGGGCCCTTGTGCTTGCCAGGGAAGCACTCATTCTACTGAGCCACCTCCCGGCCCTGAATCAGGGGTTTTAATTATGCCCGTTGTGAGGGATGTAGCTATACACCCCAAGCTGACCTTAGCCTCATGACCCTCCCGCCTCACCTCCCAGGGCTGGGATTGCAGGCAGCTGCCACACCTGGCTTTACTGACACTCAGTTGAAACAGCTCCACTTAAAATGCACAGCAATCACAGCTCAGTGCTAGATGACGAAATGCTTTCTTGAGCTAAGAGAAAGCTTCATACCAGTGTGCTGGCCTAATATGCATGAGGACCTGGGCCCTATCTTCAGCGCTATAAAAATAAAAGGTTTTTTTTGTTTTGTTTTAAGTATTTTCTTGGGTTGGGAAGATGGCTCAGTAGAATAAGTCCTTCCCTGGCAAGTGCAATGGCCTGAGTTCAATCCCTGGTTCAGCAAAAAACAAAATATTTTCTTTCTGGAAGAGAGGAAATCACGTGGTGGAGCAAACGGACAAACCGTGAAGCGCAAGTCCTGCTGCCTCCACGCTCCTGCTTTCCCGTAGAGGCCCCAGCTGCTTCCAACTCGGCCTGCCCTCCCTCGGCCTCAGCAGGGCCTGGAAACTAGCTTGTGCTGTGGGCCTGGTTCTGAGAACGCCCCAGACCTGCTGTGCTCTGGGCCCTCAGAACCCACCAGCAGTACAGTGGTGGTGCCAGCAGCGTGTGGTCCTCTGTCCATCCTGAAGCTTTGCTTAGATTACCTGCTCTATGGGAGGTACACAGGGCCAAGGCCACATGCACCAGAGAGGGCACACCGCCCTGCCCGGCAAGTCTGAGGCCCAGACCTCCCATCTTCATCTGTGTGGTTGCAGATGGGCACAAATCCAAACCTGGCCATAGATGCAGTCCAGGGCCACTTGGAGCCAGGAGGGAAGAACAGCCTGCACCTGCTTCCCTGCTCTGAGCCCAGGAGTCTGCCCTTGCCTCGTGCTTGTGGCCCCAGCCAAAGGATGGCACCAACTCTGCGAAAGAGGCCACGGTGTAATGTGCAGAAAATTCTAGACACGAACTGCAGGCTGGGGGATAGCTCAGCAGCTTAAGCACCTTCCTGGCAAGCTCAAGGTTCAGAGTTTAGTTCCAGTACTACCAAAAAAAAAAAAATTTGAAAATACACTGTCTTCACAGGTCCTGCTTTACCTTGGTCTTAACCATCCAGTAGAAAAGTATGAAGACGAAATATAGGAAGTAAAGCCATGCTGTTATGTTGAGCTGTGGGGGACTCAGGTCAATAATTTCTGACATTGCCAGTTAAACAGAAGACCCAATGCTATTATGGGCTACTGGACTCTTTTAGAATATTTTGCTGAGTTTACGCACCTATAACATTCAATAATGGAACTTAGAAAAAATGGGATATTTGTTCTAATGGTGTTCGTGAAAAGGATCTCAAGTCCGCATCTTTTTTTTTTTTTTTTTTTTTTGGCAGAACGGGGGATTGAACTCAGATCCTTGTGTTTGCCGGTCAAGCGCTTATCCTACTGAGCTATCTCCCCAGCCCTTCAAGTCTGCATCTTGTACAGCAATTAACCACTAAGAGGAATATATGCAGTGTATTATTGTTGAAACTGTACTTCTGATTTGATTGGAAACTGTCCCATT